CAGAAGATCATACTCATATCATCTCAAGCACATTATTCTTGCTTTTCTCCCTTACTCCTAGATTCCTATATCTGAGAATTTTCTCAAACAATGTCTAGTTTTTCTTTTTCTGTGTACAAGCTATCGATCTCCATCAAGCATCATCGATTGTATAGTTGTGTACATTCTGTCATGCGGGATTCACGTTTGCAATTCTATATTTGACGAAATATACATATTTTTTATCACATGTAGCTGAACCTCGTTTTAAAGCTACTGAGAGTTCTAGGATTAGTGCTGTAATCAAGGATTAGGCATTATTTGTAGTTAAATTATCTTTGAGTGTAATAATTCACCGATAAAGGACAGTACTCCAACAAACTTGTCCGCCCTGAGTGGGTAATATTACAACGAACTTGTCCCCCTTATCCCCATAGATTAGCACACACTGTGGGACAAGTTTGATGGAACGATGCTCGCTTTCTCTAGCAAATATCGCTAGAAATAATCCAACGCTAAAGGAAGATGTTGTTTGGGATATTCGTTTAGTATAATACAATTAAAAACGACTGAAAACCTGAACCCTAAAGATGCATTTACCTCATTGTTAGGATAAACCATAAATTTTTAAGACATAATACAATAAGGAAGAAATTGTGACTTTATTTTTAGCAATCCTAACCAAATAGGTTTTGGAACAAAGTATTTTGGAGTTTACATCTTCCAACTTGTTTTTAGGGGAATTTGCTTTTTTTGTTGCAGAGGAGGAATGTTCTTAATTTGAGCGTTTTTTAAGAAATATTTTATATCAACTTGGATTATAGGCGGTGTGCTCGGACTGGAAGTGCATTTGCATCATGACTAATTAAAGGTAGATATTTCAGATATGCAAAAATTGAAAAAAAGTTTCACACTTCAATAAGGCTTTAATCATTTTTGTTACCATTAAGGATTTTAGGTAGTTAGTATTGAGGTTAGAAAAAAGATATATTTCGATATGACATATTTTCAAGATAATATCAATTGCCGCTGCTCTGTTGTCACCAGAGCAATATCGGAATGTGGTTGCTCCAGTTTGCTTTAGTACCGTTGAATAGAAGTTGTAAGTGGTAAAAGGGAGAGAGTTACACTGCTAGCAAAAAGAAAGCTAGAAGATAACCTGGGCTAAGGTAAACTTTGAATCCACTCTTAACGTCAAATGCTTATTCATTTTCTACTCAGAAAATTAATCATATTCAATTGGTTGTTTGCATTATTACTAATGCAGCACTTACCCCTTCAAGTGGTTCGTCTCACCATGCGCATTGCGTTTTTTCTTGGGCGTTTGCTGTGAAACTTTTTCTTCGATATTTCTGTCCTTCTAAATCGACTTTTTTGCCTGTCATTCATTCATTTAAGCTGTTTGTGCTTCTTTCCTTATGTACTGAAGAACATGCGCCTGACTGCTGTCGAAATTCTTTGAATACCAAAAGCATTCCATGACGAAAACCTGATTCTTTGAAAAAGCTGAACTGCTTGAGAGAATTTCTTCTATCACATTTTGCTAAGCAACCGGAACTGGTTTAAGCTTAGCACAAATTATTACCCTGGAAGAAGGAACTAGAGGTCTGCAGGCAGAACGACATGAGATGTCATAAAACTTGCATAGTTTACATAAAAGATTCTTGACTGGCGTGAAGAAAAATGAAGGACGAACAAAGGAATGTGAAGTAGTGAGTCATAAGTGTTAGAAACTGGAGTAAACTAAACGTAGAGATTTATCCCCAAATTTATTTGGAGGGTCATATATCAAACGAATACGACAGTATCGCTTACATCTATTTGTTTGACTCAGTTGATTTATGGGGTTTTGGCTAGTGAAACTCTCTTTTTAAAATTATTGGCCGTAAAATAGTTGTCTACCAACTACTTTGAGGTGCTTAGAAAGTGCTCTCACTCCTAAAAGTGGGCAATTTTTGTAAATCATTTCGCATATTATTTCTACCCACCAGGTTAGTCTGGTGCAACTTGACATGGGTATGGCAGCTACAGTTACGTGGGCTATTATGGCGGACTAAAACTTTCCTAAGAAAACGAAATTGTCGAAACGTTGATGATGATAGTTTCTGTCTTACTAATTTAGCAGGTGCGAACAACGTACGAAGCGATTTTACGCATTAAGCATTGTCATGGAAAGAAGTGCCATAAATATTACAACCAAATGATGCTATAGAGAGCCAGCATTTCTCTTTATAAATTATTAAAAACGAATTTATAAAGAGAACTGGCTCGAATTTGCGCTACTTAATAGACTTTAAATCGAGTGTATTGTTGTCTAAGAATATCTTATTGCTAATGCCTTT